CCAAAAGCAACACTCTGATAAAACTAGAGCAATTTGCTTATGTTTTTCTTTCTCCATCTATTCCAAGTCTCTCACCCTTAGTTGGTCCCTTCCCTTGTTCTTCTGTTCTCTCTCCCCCTACTCTCTGGCTTTTGTTAGTCAACCTCTCCCCTACTGTCCCCCCTCTTTGTAGGTCCCAGTTTTTATATCTATGCCCACTACTTGTCCCCTGCTTCATAGTTCAATGCTACAGCAGCTTTTTATTACAGCATTCAGGGGAGGAGAAAATTGAAAGCCATTTTTGCCCCAGCAGTTGGCCTAACAGTGAAAAACTGAGCAAGGGAAGAGCTGAAGCCTGTAGAAGGCAGCAAAGAACTCCTCCCTTCCTTCTACCTACTGGCTACATGGACTAGAACAGTGGTTCTCAACCAGGGGCCGCAAGCAGGTTTCAGATGGTCCGCCAAGCAGAGCCAGTGTTAAACTCACTGGAGTTCAGGGCAGAAAGCTGAAACCCCACCGCATGGGGCTGAAGCCCTAAACCCTGCCACCCAGAGCAACTTATCTTTGCTGTGCCCACTGTGGCATGAGGCCCTGGGTAATTGCCCTGCTTGCTACCCCTTAATGCCAGCCCTGGCTTTTATATGCAGAAAACCAGTTGTTGTGGCACAGCTGGGCCGTGGAGTTTTTATAGCATGTTGGGGGGAGGGGGGAAGGAGGGGAGGCTCAGAAAGAAAAAGGTTGAGAACCCATGGTGTAGACTCATGGGAAGAAATGGGGCTGAGGCCATGCCTCTTTCCCCAAGTAGGTGAGCAAGGGGAGAGCTGAGGTCACAGGTTCCCAATACGGCCAGAAGTACAGCTCAGCTGCTTGGGCGGAAGGCTGCAGTGCTCCAGCAGACACCAACAGAAGTGCTATGTGAGGGCTTTAGAGTGCACCCCTGTGGGACTACACTCCCTCCCCAGTCTCCCTGGCGGGATCATTCTATATGCACAGATACAGAACTGCAGGGCCTTTAGAATGGTTCTTAGTGCCAATAATTGTGATACAACATTAACAAATACCACTGAGACCATCCAACTTTACAGTCAGAGTCCAGAAGGCAATGGAGAAATGAATCCAGTAGTACCAGGTTTAAGTGGCAATTCACAGCCGAGGCACTTTCCCACCTGTCTTGTTTGTCTGATTTTGGAAAAATAAAAAGGAACATTTTCCAGATCTTGAACAAAAGCCTGATACTACAACCAGTATGGCAGAGCACAAAACAGGGTAGAGAGATGGGCACAGGAGGGATCTAGAGACTTTGGCACAACGTAACTAGTGCTTGTAGCTGTCTTGCAATGTGCCTAACTCACCCAGCTCTCAAAAAAGCTCTAGCCAACTGTATCAGAAACTGCAGCAAACAAGCTTTTTGGAAGCTCAGCATTAAAAGGACCTTTTTATTTTATTTTATTTATAAAGGGGGAGGTCTTGCCCCTTTAATGTGATATGAACCAATGCAATAGCTTCTTTAACATTTTTATTAATCTGTTACCATAGTGATTCTCCGTATCAGCAGCACCGATCTGGACTGCATGGCAGAGATGTTTTCAGAGTGGATGCACATTTTTCCTTCCAAAATATTTTACTTTTAATGAGCTTTTTATGTACAAAATAGCAAAAACTACATTTCTGCTCCTTCAGTCCCAGAAACAGTAAGTCCAACCCTAGCTCATGCTCTGATCTGTAATTTGTAGCTTATGGCAGCACCTTTATAGAAATCAGTACACAAAAAGTGATGTATGGTATCAGAATGCTTTCTGCGTGAACTTCATTGCGTCTCTGTGCAGTAAGAATATACAATTAACTGTACGTTATGCTTCACAGAAAGAACTGAACATTGGTCTGATCATATATGAGACACATTCTTTTGTGAGCAGCTTGAGCAGTAACTGCATTTCATCCAGACAGAGTCTAATCAGCAGCTACAGCTCATTGTTCTGAAAACCATAAGTACAATCTATAAAGGTGTTTCCTGTTTTTCACTAGTAGAGTAAGAAGTTTTGTATCAAGATCAGAATAAAAGACCAAAAAAAAAACTGTTCTGTGGTCAAGTATGTATAAGAGGAATCCCTGCCATACCCAAAATGCTTCAAAAAAGCAACTGCTCCTAAAACAAATAAAATAAACTTATGACAGGAGATAATTATGAAAATAAAGAAGTGGAGAGTTTTAAGGGATGATGGAAGTAACAGCTACAATGTTTAATAAATGAGAGGTGCCTTGTCAGCTTTGATCTCCCTTCATTATTTGTTTGCTCCCTCAAAGAACACTGAAGATTTAAACATTCAGCTGGTTACGATCCTGTAATATAACATGATCATGATTTCCCAGGGTGCTTTCCACAAGAACCGGAATATGTTGATTTATGAGAGGGGAGCACCTCCCAGGTTAGGAAGGAAAAAGACTATTGCCAGGATGAATAACCCCATGTTTCCGTCATGGTAGGTTCCCCCAGCACTGGATAAAGAAAGTAAAGACAACCCTTGAAACATGCATGTGTGGTCTAGGATTGTTTTAAGGGCAGTCCTGATTAGAAACTGCCTCTCTGTAGCAGCATTAGATCCTCTCTCCCTGTACAACTGCTACAAGGTAGGACAAACTTTCAGAAACACTACAGATTTTTAATATAGACACCTGCACTGTCAGGGTTTGGATTGGAGGGTGGGACCTGCAGTTTTTCTCCTAATGGCACAGAAAGCAAGACCATCCCATGCTAACGAGTAGTAGGAATCCACTGCCAGCTCTTAACTGTAGAAGCAAGCTGTTTACCATAATAAAGCAGATAGGGTAAGGAGCCAACCCCTGTGCTACCCTACCCATAAAGTGCAGCCATGTGACGCCTGCCAACGTCTACTGCATATGTAGATTTTAACACCAAAAGTATACTTCCTTCCTAAAAGATAATCTGACCTCTCCTTTCAACAACAGGCAGGTGTTGTGAGAAAGTACTCATGGGGAGAATCATCACATTGCGAAGGTCACGGGTTGTGTTCCCTGTGGGCAGGCGTACACTACAATTAACATTCACATTTCAAGAACGGTGCTGTTGAACCAGCAGTTAAGCATGAGAGCCCACAGGGCTCAGACATTTCTATCACTGTGGGTATGTGTACAATGGAACTGGAGGTATAATTTCCAAGTCAGGTAGACATACCCAGGTTTTGATTGAGCCAGTGTACTAAAAATGGCAGTGTAGCCGTGGCTGTGGGGGCAGAGGGATGGGTTAGCCACCTTGAGTACACACCTAGGGTTTCAGATGGGATTGCATTTGGCTTGGCAAGCCTGTCCCACTGCCTGTGCAGCCACAGCTACACTGCTATTTTTTTAGCACACTAGCTCAATCAAAGCAATCATGGGTATGTCTAACCGCCTTGGAAATTACACCTCCAGATCCAGTATAGACTTACCCTGTGTCATGAAAGTCTGCTCAAAGCTAAAGCCTATGCCATATCTACCACTGGTACAGCTGTGCTGTTGCTGGCAACTACTGAAATATGGCTGCTAGTATTTCTGGTCTAACTTTGGCGGTATCGGTTATTTCTGTTAAAACAGGCAGCTCTCCCTTCTTTAAGCTAGAAAGGACTTCTTCCTTCTGAGATGGAAGTGCTCTGGACATGCATCTAATCGCTTGTTTACGCCCTGATCCTCCAATTGGTTCCGCGTAAGCAGACCCCTATGTTCACATACAGCCTCAATGGCTTTTCACAGGGGGGCTACACACGTGCAGGACTGAGGCCTACAATGGCAAGTTCCTTGGGGACAGAGTAGGGGTAGGGCTGAGCACACTGCCAATGCTCATCATTAACAAGAAAAACAAAGGGGAAAGTTGCAGATAGCTAATATACGTATGATTAGTGACAATACATGTTAGACTAGCATTTTTCCTGTAAGAAAGGCAGAGAGTTTTCTGGACATCTATGAAAGGAAGCTGCCCCAAACCAGACCTACAGTAGTTACATGGCTTGAAAGCTGTTTATACTGGACACTAACTTATCCCACGATTGAGTCAGGGAGTTCCTGTGAGTTTTCCAGCCAACCAACACCCATTTTCCCTATATTCATAAAATAAAAATATTCCAGCTTCCGCCTTGCAGAGTAGAATTATTTTCTTTTCTTCCCTTGAAACTATGTAGCTGCCAGCAGCTGATTCTCTGATTGGAGAAACTGGGACAGGGACAGGAGCAAGGAGGGGAACATACAGAAGATTTTACAAGACAGGCAGAGCAGATTATGAAAGAAATTTAAAAATATTAAAGAAAATAGGTCTCTACTTTTCTGAGCCTCCAAGACCCAAAGTAACCAATCTATGGGACATGCAATAGGCTAATATCTATAAAACAAAAATAAAAAAAAGTATTCAGGTATGTGGCTCTCATCCTTGCATTCCCCTGATAAAACAAAAATCAAAGATCCTTTAGCTGTTGGCAAACATGCAGGAAGATTAAAGAGGTGAGGATCAACTCAGGAGGGAAGGAATGTGTCTGATGCCAAATTTTTTACATAATTTTTAATCTGGATTTGGGATAATACACAGAATCATGTATGTACCCATTTTATTTCCATTGATAGTATATTTCTCAAGGGGATAACAACTTTACCTTAGCAGATGATCACCAGTAGGAACAGTAAGCTGATAGGGCAAAACAATTATCATACGCACACAATGCTTTACTTATGAAATATATAGAAAATACTGCCTAGTTTTGTTTGTGGGGGAGAGAAACCAGAATTGTCACCCATTTACTCACATGTACATCAATACAAACAGGCATTTTGCCTCCCAAATGTTAAGTTACATAATGATAAATGCATGGAACACTCTGAAAAGGAAATGTTAACACATTCTGAAAACTGGCCAGAATTTCCACAGCTGTCTTCCTTAAAAGTTTAGATAGCTTCATGCAGCCCTTCCATAATGTCAGAGTGGTAGAGACTGCTGATTCTAATATTAACAATTGTAGAACAGTATGTATAAGAGTTACCTGTAAACCACAGCAGCCCACTGCATTCATAATGGAAGCATTATGAATAACCCTGTATGGAATCCCAAGCTTTACTGCACGCAGAACAAGATCACTGTGTGTTGTGGCCCTGTGGTAAGGAAGGAATGGGTTACATTGACAAAATACACTGACTGAGCATAACCATCAACATAGCTTGTTTGGAAAGTAAAATTAAAATGCTTCATGAGTAAAGCTATGCAGCATGCCAAGAGGGCAGAGGTAGTAAGGACTTTACTCTGACTTTACCATAACAATAAGTAGCAAAAAAAAGGGCTAAAAAGCACAGGGACCCACATGAATTTCACAGCTCCCAATTGCTTTCTCAAAGTTAAAACTGCAACAGTAGCATGTTTATTACTTTTTAAAGTAACTTTTGGTAGCAACTTAAAGAGGACAGTTCCATTTGTCCTTTGTCTTTTGCAGGTATCTGCTGGATGTCTGTTGAATAGCAAATGTCAGCTAAGCTTAGCACAGAGAACTTGGGCGTAACTCCAGTATCCCTACAATTAATGTGCAACCAGGCCATCTCACATTTGCACTGAGAGCCTGTGAAAACACGTTCGAAAAAAAGCACTACACAGTATACAGAACATGTTTTAAAGATTTACACATATTGTATACACATGTATACAGTAGCTATATATTAACCTTGGAAAAGCCAAGCTTGGCTTTTAAAACTATTCTCTTTTATATATTTATGTACCGAAATCCACAAGACTCAGGGAAAATGCATTAGGATATATAAACAACATGCAAATCCATTCCAGAAGTAAGCAGGAGCGATCCCCTTTGAAACTTACCGCAAGCTGAATTTGGCTTAACATACCCATCAGTCAACATGCAACCTGCATCTTCACACTTGGACAAAACTCTCAGTCAGGTTAATTGGAGCTTTGCCCAGAGGAAGAACTGCAGGCTTGAGTTCCAAGTATGATCAGCATCAGAAGCACAAATAGATCCAAGTTAGTCTTATTTTTGAATTGCAACAATTTAAAATAAATAAATTTTTATTTCAAATGGTACATGTGCATGTTAAGATGTTTAAGAAGTACTGTACTCTCCACATTACATGTGAAATGTGGCAATGCATTTAAATAAGAAAGCTGTCAAATCTGTACAATTGCTTCAGCTGTCTCCTTTTCAACAAAGATACCTCAGTCAATGCTGCCCATTCCATAGAGGGAAACAGGGAAAGTAGTAGTATCTGGCTGAGCTGAGTAATTACATAGGAGGGTTGTTTTAGCCCTGACATCCTCTGTCGTTCAAGCTGAATTCTCATGGAGTTCCCTCAATCCCTGGCCTGACCATTTCCCAACCTTAGTGCATTTTTGTTATGCAACTACTTTGCCAGCTCAAGTGCATAGCTACTGACACAGAAATGTGGCAGCAGCTGATGGGGGTGGGAGGAAGTGTCCGTTTTTTTAAAATACGATAAAGGCTCATTCATCTACAGCAGATTAACTAGTGGAGTCTGAATTATGGGAAATCAGGAAGTATTGCTAGAAATAGACTGCAACACCTAGGAGAACAGCAGTAAGGTAATCTAGACTTAGAATAGCGCCCTCATTAACTGCAAAACTCTCTCCTATGCCCCCCCCCCACCCTTCCATGAGCAAAGGAGACCCAAGCACATCTGCTGAGGGAGAGCAGGAGGTTGGTTCTTCAGCCTTGTCCCGTCTCTCCAGATCCATGGCATAAGGGCTCTGGAGACTTTGTGGGTTCGCTAATAGAGAATCAGGGGAACAGCTGGCTTTATTTACTAAAATCTGCTCCCACTAGGCCCCTCTACAAGGGCTGCAGCACAGCTGCAGGAAGTGTGCTCACATATGGGGACTCAGCCAATTGCAGCAGGGGGCCTGAGGGAGTCAGCCCTCTGTGCCCTTGTCTCCACTACCACTTTCCACACTACTGGTCTAGCACCAGTAGCATCTTCACGGGCAATTATGGAAGCAGTTGCATAAACTGGATGCAGGTGGGCATTTATTTCAGTCACCACATTGTCTGACATGGTGCTAAAAGTTGCCTGGTTTACATTAACACATTCTACCAATATTGCAGACACAACTGCGAATGGATCAGTGGTGGGGGAAAAGAACTGAAAAATTCCAGTGTAGCTGCCCCTTGTGTGGTGCCTTTGTATCAGCAGGATGGGACATCCCTTACCTGTGGGGCTGAAAGGCCATCCACCTCCTTTCTGCACTAGCTAAACCTCTCCTTGAGAACAGATTACTTGAAAACTCCGAGGTCAACTTTTGGAGTGTCCTGGCTCCTCTGTCATCCTCACACTGGGTTTTCCACAGGATAGGACAATCCTGCCCTTTGTTACTAGGAGCAACCAGTCAGTCACCTCATAGACCCCAGGGAGCAGGCGTGCTTGGAGTAATTAGGAAGAAAAAGACATCTGAAATGGGGTGCATTAAACTTCAGAACACCGTTCTTCAGTAAGTTGCCTTCAAGAGTCCAAACACTGATTGACTGAAATACACACCATGGACTCTTTTAGCCTGCTTATATAAATGGTTAATGTCTGTCATAGGCTTTACAAATTTTATATCTACTGCTAAAAATTAATCCATACTTCCCTTAGATTAAGAATCAAAAATTGACATATTAATAGACTGAAAGAGTTAACGTGAGAGCCTTAGTTTCACTTCTTGTTTGCAATGTTTCCCCCACCTCCAACTGATTTGGCCACAGTTTAGATGACCACCCCAGAGGGAAAGTTTCTATAAGGAACACGAACAAATTTTTGAACTTGGGTGCCTAAGTTAAACCATTAAATCCATTATGAGGCACTTAAGTGGCCCATTTTTCAGAGATGCTGATAACTGGCAGCTCCTATTGATAGTAGCAGTTCTGGGTGCTCAATCTCTCTGAACAGCAAGCCATTTTTGGGTGGGGAAGGGGAGTGCTTAGCTTTAGATATCCAACTTTGAAAATTGTGGCCATATAATACACTGTACAATGTTCTAGAATGGTCTAGAACATCAACATCACCAATTAACTTCAAAGCTGCCTGGAGTTAGATTTTAGGGTTCTGGTTCTCCAAGATGATTCTTGCAGGGGGACCCTTACATCCTCCCTTATGGAGACCCACTGAAGTCAGTGGGGCACCACACAGGCATTAGAATCTGCCCACAAGGATCTGACGTCAGAATTGGGGCCTAAAAGCCTACACATTTAGACAACATAAATAAAAGGTTTAGAAAATTCTTTATATCTTTTCAAGACAGAGTACTATGTTATAATAAAAGCATATGTTTCTAGTCATTAAAAACATTGGTATACACATTTGCAGAAGCAGGCTCGGTGACTCCCACGCAAACTCCAACTACTTTTTGATGGACACAGTAGTTATATGGCCTGTATGCCTAAACTTATTTCTGGATCAACAAGAGGGTATAGGTACTGCACCTTAACTTAAACCTGGATTCTAATGGCAATGCACACTGCAAGTATAATTACTTTAATATTTCTAAATAGCCAGCATCACCTGCAACTACACAGTTTAATAAAAAGATTGTCTCAATGTTTCCCCAGCATCTGTATGTACATAAGTTATTCCTCTCCTTTATAACCCTCTACCCCTCCCCCAAATGCACCCATTCACCAAACTGTGCTCAGTGATTTAATTTTCCTTGTGCCCCTTGAAGCTGTGATACAAGTCTTGGATCACCAGCTGGAGACAAAGAGCTCTTCTGTATGGCTTGACATTACAGATTGATGATGCTTGATTGCATAGGCAGAAGGACATCCTTCTGGAGACAGAAAAAGGCTATAGCTTCCAGCAGGAATAAGAAACTGAAATAGGAAGCTTAATAAACCAAACTGACAAGACATTTATAATAGCCCAGCCATCCTTAAAGACTAGAATAGATAATACCATAAGTGTGTGCAATCAACACCCAGCATTCAATTAAAAAACAACTGAAAATACAAAGCATGATTAATACATAATCAAGAAATGCACCATACTTTGTAACAAGCCTAGCACTTCTGCTAAGCTGATAAAAATCTAAAACAATTTTTTTTTTATGAAGGGCAGCTTGAATAACGGCAATTAATTTTACAGTTGTCGCTTGACTTTTGAAGGGAAGATTTATAGATCTATGTGAGTGCCAGTGGGTCTGAGTTCCTATCTGATAAGGATGTTTTGCAAGTTGTTTGGGTGCGAGAACTGCAAAACAAGACTGAGAATAAAGTGTGAGCCATTTATTTACATTTGTATCAAATTCAAATGTAGCCAGTTCTGCAAGAACATTAATGGGGCACACTCCTATTATTATGAAAATGGAATGTTTCTTTTTTCCAGCAAGAAAATTATGGTAACATGAGAGAGCTCCCATTTGTTAAGGGCTAGAAGTAGCCAAATGACAAAGCCAGAGGAATAATTAAAATGTTGCCTTTTCTTACCCAAATGGATCACCAACTACAAGAAAAGCAACATCACAGAGATCAGCATCTTTTAAAATATTATCTGCTTCTTGTTCCACTGTTTCTCTGTCAGCCAGAATCAATTCTCTCCCATAGAACTCCTCCTAGAGATTGAAGAAAAACATCACAATGAGACAGCTGGTGATGACTTCCATTTGTCTTAGTCTGTCTTCCAACCAGATATAGATTAGACATTGGCTAAAAATGTGCTATGACCTAGTTTTTTTTATATCATGTTGTAATTAACCAGTCTTGAAACCATTCTTTATTAGTATCCCCAGAGAAATGAGACTCCAACAGCTGAAGCTTGGTTTCTTTGCACTTCAGATTCACCCTCCAATTCTGTTTCTGTATGCTGAATACTTTCCATGCATGTTGATAACACATTTAGCCTTTAATCCTTCAAACACTTACCTTTAAACAGATGAGCAATCCCACTGAAGTCAATGGGACTACACATGTTCTTTAAATTAAGCATATGTGTAAGCATGTACAGGATCAGGGTCTCACATATGAACCATGAGACTTGGTTCGGTTCTAGAATGCTTAGTGACTATTCTGCACATCTGTACATCCTTATAACTCAAATTTCATCAAGCTATGTAAGTACTATTGTTACATTAGATAGCAAACTTCTTCAGGGCAGGCAAACTTCTTCTGTTCTGTAAGCCACCTGGCACATTTTTGGGAGCTATAGAAATCATAGTTGTTTAGCCAACTGAGGTCAGGAAGGTCTGTCTTTACAGAAAATGTGACATCAATTCCAGCTCTGCTCTCCACCTACAAAGGATAGTGTATAAACAAGAGAACCAGCATAACAGTGATCACAGCATAAAGGAGTAGCAAAGGCTTCCCTGAGAAAGGATGGTCCTGTGGTTAGAGCAGTAGCCTGGGATCTGGTAGTCCTAGGTTCAATATTCTGCTCTGCCACAGACCTACTAGGTGACCTTGGGAAAGTCACTTGGGGCTAGACCCACAAAGGTACTTAGGCACCCAAGACCAATATTTAGGTGCCACTGATATTCACAAAATTAATGCTCAGCTGGTGCATAAAGTCCCCACTGACAGGCCTGTGCAGAGCCCCGTACATCTTTATGCTGCCACATAGCTAATTAGCAGCTCGGAACCCTAGCTCATGCCCAAACCCCAGCAGGAAACTCATACTTAGCATTCCCCTCCTATCTTTCCAGTGACAGCACACCTACAAGATCAGGTGACAGCACACCTACAAGATCAGGTGACAGCACACCTACAAGATCAGAGCCTCGAATGAAGACTGGGTATTTTTCAGATGAGTGTGTGTGTGTCTCCCAGAATAGTCAATAGCTCAGTTATAAGGGCACTCACTTGGGATGGGACAGAACCAGGATGTGGGATGTTTTCAAATCCCTGCTCTGCCTGATTTGGAGGAGCTTGAAACCAGGTCTCCCACATCCCAGGAGAGCGCCCTAACAATTGGGCTGTTGGCTAAAAGATTTAAATACAGTAACTCCTCACTTATAAGTCATCCCGGTTAATGTTGTTTCGTTGCTGATCAATTAGAGAACATGTTCATTTAAAGTTGTACAATGCTTCCTTATAACGTTGTTTGGCAGCTGCCTGCTTTGTCCATTGCTGGCAGAAAGAGCAGCCCGTTGGAGCTAGCTGATGGGGGCTTGGAACCAGGGTGGGCCGGCAGCCTATCAGCTCTCCTAAGTTTCCTGTGAAGCAGCCGCCCAGCAGGCTATCAGTTACCGGCAGTTGAGCTGTCCATCCCCCCAC